TCAAATTCTCCAGCACGCACTTGATCGAATCAATTGTCTTACAAGCGGTAGGGTTAAGGTTTGATTATCGGCGAGGTTCGACCCACAGAAACGCGATTTACCCAAGATTTCGAAGTATGGAAACCTCCCGTTAGCCCAGACTGGCTTCCACAATTGAGCCCTTGCGTGCGTAGATTGTGTTCTGGAGGGCTGACAGGGATGATTTTCCACGCGCCATCGTCCGCCGCAGTCGTTGTTACTGTCCGCCCCGCCCCTCCGGCACTTTCACTTCGCCATAAGAGCGTCACCATCCCCCTCAGGTGTTTTCTCTTCCGAAAACTATCGCTTTTCTCTTTCTCCACCTTAGTCCTGCTATCCTCCAACTAAGCCACCTCACTTCAAGCAAAGGGTTGTTTTGGCCTGCTCCCCACCGCTCGTCTCAGGTGGAAAGCTTTTCGCATGCTAAGACGTAGATAATAGCTGTGTGTTGGGGTTGGAAACCGCAACATTATCGCAAGGAAACCAGTCTGTTCTCACATTCTTTCCTCACTATGACTGTTTCGGCTCGGCTTTGCTTCTTACTGCTTTGTGCTCTCGTTTTACTTGTTCCATTCTAGATGAAAACGTCGTGGACGCTCGCCTTAGCGACCGTTCTCCTATTCCTTTGCTGTACTCACTCAGTGAAAATCATCGACAATGGGCTTGCTCCTCCAGAGATCGTTCACACTCCCGTTTCTGTCAAGCGTACGTGTACATATAATTTTTTTGTTTCCTCTTTACTTGGAAAAGCTCTTTGGTGAAGAAGGACGTTTGTGATCAAATCTAGAACAGCAGATGAATTTCTGGCGCTGATTTGGCCGCTCGAATTTGCTTTCGAAATTTGCCATGCATTAATTGAAGCAGACTTGCGGACGCTCCGTCCATCCCGTGTACCACCATTTATTTGCATGGAAGCGTCCCTACACTGGAAGCAGTCCCGGAGCTCACCCAACTGACTAGCGTCCTTCCTTGTTCAAGCAGTCTGGTCCGAAGTCTAAGACTGTCCCACTTCCGCGGCTTCCAAAGATATCGCGGTCCTCTAGTGGCAGTTCTGACTCCTCCCTAGTTGTCCCGCCCACCAAAATTCAAAGCTACTTTCTGTTTCTGTTTTTACATAGTGTTTTTCGGTTTTCTATTCTATGTCAGATAGCGTCAACATTGGATGACGCGAAGAAACAATTAGTGAGCCGGAAGCGACGGAATATTGCCTTGCTGTCATAAAACAAGCAGGTTCGGAGATCTCGTACTCTGCGACTGCCAGGGAGTCCTCTACCAAGGGTATTCTCCATGATTTGCTATACTTGGGAGCCACTTAGCGACTACTGATTTGTAACTGTATGCCGCTATTCACGATATACAACCGCGGGAATGGTCGTTGATGTGGAGGTCAGAAGAGAAGGTGGCATGGTGGTGGCTTCCCCTCACAGGTCCATAAAGCATAGGATTAGTGCTATAATCGCGTTGAGGAGTTCACCCCCCCTGGAAACGAATTTCTAGCCAGATGACAATTCGCCTACAGCTTGGAAAAAGTAGTTCACCGCTCAAAAACACCATCGCAGTGACCATCGACGAGTGCTCTTGGTGAGAAAAAACCTCTGTAATGTCGGCGTAGAATCATGCTGATGGCGCAAAATGCTGCTCCTTTAAAAACTACAAATTGATTCAAATTTAATTAAGCCTCAAGATGAGATTTCAATGCTGGTATAGACCTAGAACTGCCAACGAGAAACGGCACCATAAATGTTCACATTTTCTCCAAAGCTGGATTAAAATTTCAGAGTTTGCTAGAGATATGTTCTCATGGGGCGGAGGTGGTGTAGCCAGAAGTGGCGCCCTTACCACTTCGCGGGCGCGGGTTCCAGATCCCGGGTTCGAACTCCGGCCCAGGCCAACCCAAGGCTTCTACCTCGTAGAGGCAAGTGGCACACTTACTATGCGCACCGTACGGGGACCAAATCTTGGATCAGCTCCGGGCCAGGCCAACCAAGCCCTCTGGCCCCGTAAGTCATTGCATAAGGCCACATCGCATTCAATAAGCCACTACGATTCTGAATGGAAGTAGAATGCGTGCCGCATCACAGGGATTGATTAACGGCGGAAGACTTTATCCTCTTCATCCTTTTATGTTCTCAGAGGCTGTTTAAACTTTTGACCACAAGTCTGACACTCTTCTGGACAAAAAGCTTGCTGGGTGCGTAATGGATCTTGACAGCCGACGCCCTAGTAAGAACGTGGTGAGAAACCACTTCAAGTTCGTTTAGAGGAACGCATGGCCGATACTGAAAGCAGATTTGAGGACTCAGAAATGCATCTGATAGTATAAGATCACCACAAATGTCTACAGCTCTCCTAGTTAGCAGTGTTCCCTCACTTGGTCCAAATGGGAATGGGGCTTTACATTTCGACTGCTCTACTCATGATTTTCACCATTAGTATTATTGAACAGGGCTGAAGCAGTATATGTAAGCTGTTATTTCAGGCAGCCGATTTTTTATATATACAGGACAGGCTTAGCTTTTAATATAATCATAATTAATAGTTAGTTATATCTACATAGAGAGGCAAAAACGTCAAGACTCCGTCAATCCTGGATAGGCGGTATACCCATTCAATGACTTTACAATTTTGCTGAAAGCCTCATGTGTGTCTTTTCCTAAGGGGGTTGAGGTCATTGACCACTTTCCTTCTCCCTCATCTTTTTCATGATTCTTTTTTATACGTTTGTGAGGCCATTGAACGCCAGGAAGGCTTTTAAAAGAGTGGCTCAAATTACTCTCGACTATTACGCTATTAGTATAACAGGGGTAACGTGGAGCGATACAATACCCCGTTCCTTTCATTGTTAACCCGATTCACACAAGGTCAATTGGACGCACCCAGTCATCCCGGGCTTTACTAGCATTCATCACAGTAGAAGACACAACAGATGTTATCTATGGGCAACAGGCATCGTTAAGACAGTGGGGCTCGAAACCGGTTACGGTACGTAAGTGTCGTTTGACATGCGTCATCAAACGCCGATGGAATGAGCCCTGTTAAACTTTGCCCCATTTCGGATAAAAGCATGCAAATTTGAATAGATTCGTGGTACTTCCGGCTGAAAAGGGGAAGAAAAAGTGTGATCACACGAAATCGACAAGGAGTTCAGCATCTATGCATCAGTCACTCTGATTGGCTAAAGAAAGAGGCAAAAGAGGTTTATACCATGAGAGCCCTAAATAGGCACATCGGTCGTGGGGATTCTCTCAACAAATGAATCGCATTTGGTTATTGGCGGCGAGGGCGGTGGTATTAGGCCTGAGAAAATATCTTTTCAGTTGCTGATTTTTCTCGTTTTCCGACGCTATAAGGTGCAGGTCGCAATTGCTTGTTGTTGGCAAAAGGGGGGGCTGGCGGCAGGCAGGAGGAGTTCGTGATCTTCGGAAATTTTCCCCAGCGGCCAAAGAATGCCACTGTAAAAAACAACGATATCCGAGAACCGCTAAAAGCGGGGTGTGGGGGAGGTTTGTACGGACCGAGAAATCTCAACGCATTTGATGTGCCCTGGGCTGACGAAGCTATTCGAACATTGATAACTCGCTGGATCGGACAGCTTCAAAGGGGAGACTCACTAAAAATGTCTTTTCATTTTTTTTTTTTTTTTTCACTGGCTTTCGTCCAGGTTCTTTCTGCTTAAGTAAAATGTGAAACAGTCACTTCAAAATTATGTGCTAACCTGACCGAAAACCAAAACAACCCGAGCTCGTAAAAATGAACTTTCGTGGGGCTATCAACGCCTTGAAGAGCGCGTTCGATTCCGACAAAGGTAATGTGCGTGCACGTCTCAATACAGATCGCATCATCCTTCAGTCAATCAGCTTTTTTTCGATTTCTCTTTCAGACTATTTTGTGATAAATTGTTGCCAGGGGGGACGATGGGTGTATTTGGTCGAATAGAGGGGGAATGAATGGCCGCGGGGTTGCTATCATCCGCCCGTTCGTGAGTAGGAGCTTTGTGAGGCGAAGTTTTTACGGCGCTCTTATTTTTCGCGGTTTTTTTCCCGTTTCGCGGCGCTCCATGATTGCGCTACATTATTCAATATTTTTAGGATTTTGCATTTAAAGTGGGCTATTGGTTGAGGATGGGGAGGGGTGGTTCTGTAGCAGAGGGCGAAACTGGGAGGGTAGTCGCATTTTCCGAAACTTTTTCGACAGGATTTGAGAGCTATGGGCCCCTCAAAACCTAGAAACAAAGTTTTTTTTGAGGTTGCGACTTAAAGGGCAGCACTACCAGTACTGCTTGAACGGGGATACCTAATCATCGAGTAATTTCTCCTACATAGAATTATTGCGTTGATCGATAAAGAGCCGCTGAAGCTCTTATCTGGATGATCTAATAATAAGTTCTGAAGACATGGAACTTTCAGATTAGCTTAACGTGGAGTGAAAACATCGCCTTAAAAAGTCCATGAGCCGGTTTTTCTGAACATGGATTGACAATGAAACGACAGCTACGGAATACCCGTTAACAAGCATGTTCACGCCATTGTGAATCATGTTGACAGCTTCCACGCCCCTTTTTCTCTTCCCCCCTCTCAGACAATGTTTTTTGGACTCGGAAAAAATTCGAAAAATGCGGATAATTTTTTTGCAGCTCGATGCGTCATACGAGCCCCACCATTGGATCTGATTTTCATCCTCGACAGTTCGGGATCGTTGCGCGATCAATTTCAAAACGAGATTGACGTCATTCGACGGATCATTCGGCATGTTACCATAGGTGATACGGCGACTCGGGTGATGCTTATCCAGTTCAGGTACTTGCAATTTTCGTGGATAGCAAATGGTCACCCGTAGTCTCTGACCCCGCAATTTTCAGTGGCACTCAGCATCTCGAGTTCAATTTCAATAAGTTCACTACACGAGAGGAGCTCCTAGCAGCACTGGGTGTACTTCGACATGTGTCAGGCATTACTCGAATCGGTGGAGCGTTCGAGTTCACTCTCGAAGTGTTAAAGGATCCTTCCAATGTAAATACATAGCTTTTCAGAGCTCTGAAAAATCTCTAAGGAGGAAATTTTATAGGGCATGCGAGATGCGAACGTGCCGAAGATCCTCTACATACTTTCGGATGGACGAACTCATGACTATCCAAAGGATTGGGAAATGGCCAACGTTGTCAGAAGGTAAGCTGAGCTTCGCCAGTTATTCAAAGTCTCAAAGAAAATCGATGCATTCAGGTCGATTCCGAATGTGGACATTTGGGCCTATGGAACCGGGAACTATGTCGCCATGCCAGCTTTGCTAAACTACACACAGGTAAGGCTATAGGTAGTTCTGATCCTCGATGATATTAATGCGGCCGCGTCAGTGAAGAACGCATATAGGGAGCTGAGATCATAGGAGTGAAATCCAACGACATCATGCACTCCTACCAGACACAACCCATCTTGACAGCCCATACATTTCGTCATTATAATTATTGAGTGGGACATCCGCCACAACACATCCAGTACCCATCTATATTCCAGGACTACCACTTGGCGTTAAGGATAAGATACCCAGACAGGCGGAACCGACGCTCCCTGAGCAGGAATCTCGTAGGCTCTTTTCTGAGTCCCATATAAGCCGCCAAACATATCGACCCGGACGCCCCCTCGGACGCTTCGCCGCCCACAGATGACGACGTAAATTGAGCGTACTGCTTCATGCGAGTACAAATATGACAAAGGGCACTGCATAACGGCCGCGGCGTCCGCAACATACGATATTTGAGTGCGTATAAACCCGTCATCCGCGCAGATTAATTGGGGCGCTCGTCAGCGGCTCAGCGCGTGCACAGGAAACTATTGCTTTTCCAGCTAATTTAGTCATTTTTCCACCTTTGAAGATAAGGAGCTGCTAATCTGGGAAAAAGTAGCCAAAACAGTGAAAAGTTGGAAAAAATGACTAAATTAGTCCTGGAAAAAGCAAATAGTTCCTGGCACGCGCTGCGGCCCGTTGACGACCGCCCTAATCAACTGCCCGGGTGATTTTGACGATTACGTACAGCCGTACCCTACCGTATCCCATTTATTTGGCAAGACTGTCTAATGGGGATACACTATAAGCGAAAGTTACCCTTTGAGACACTTAAGAAGAGAGTTTAATTGGCCGTTCGAATCGCTCTATCTTCCTATTTTCTCCACTATATTACTCCCTCACTACCATATCGCACCCGAGTACCAAATAATGCCTTCAACCACGTGCGGGAGTGGTGGCAGTGACAATGGTCTGCGCATTACAATGCGCCGGCGACCGGTTCGAATCTCGTGTCGTCTCCCCGCCCAGCGGGAGGACCAAGCCTCTACCCTCAAGGATGGTAAATAGTACCAGAATTCTCTGACAAGGGAGGTCTTTCAGGTCGTGGCGCGCTTTTCGGAAATGATTTGTTGCATTTGTAGAGGTCCGAATAAGGATCACAAAAATGGGTTTCATTTTTGCTATGTTGCTTTCTGTAGTCAAAAACTGATCAAAAGTTGCTGGGAAAGCGATTTTGAACCGATTTTTCCCGAGGCATTTTCTGTTCATAATTAAGCATCATAGCAATGAGACCTTCGCTCGACACTGCAGCTCGAGAAAACAATACAATAAAAAGTAAAAAAAACTACTTTTATTTAGCAAATATTGATCAGCATTGTAGTTTCCAGAGAGTGTCTCCGCAGGCATCAGCCAAGGCCAGCTTGGTGAGGGGGTGTTCAAAGCCATGTTCGGCGCGAAAAATACCTCCAGACGCCAATTTTTACAGTCAGAATCGCTCATCAGGCCACTTAATAACCTCACATCAACTAATCAGCCACAAAATTTTCTCTCTCGAGATGAGCGCTTAACAGCCCCTGCGTGCGGGTTGGCAACAATTCAGTGGAAAATGCTCTTGCAGCAAGTCGGCGCTAGGCTGCGCCGTGGTCAAAAATGGGTCTCGTAAATCCAAAACCGAAAAACGTATAAAGTATCCGAAAAATGCAAAGAGTTAGTCGCCAAGGACCGATCCCAAGACCTTCTTCGAGACGAGCACACCGCAGCTATCACTCCGCCAATCCACTCGATACAGAAAACATGCGTTGCGAAGAATCCTGTTCAAGTAAACTTCGTATTACTCCCTCCGTCCCACTTTCTTATTGCTTATTTTGCACTTTCAACCCATACATAGTGAAGGGACACCCTCATGAATTATGCACTGTCAAAGTTACAGCTACAACAGAGCCCATTAACACGGTTAAAATCGCGATTTCTCGTCAAATTGTTTTCACTCAGTTTTGACCTCCCCAGAAACGCATAGCAAAAATGAAACCCATTTTTGTAAACCTTGCATGGACCCCTACAACAAGCAACAAACCATTTTTAAAAAACGCGCCACGACCTCAAAGACCTCCCTTGTGAGGGATACAAAAACACGATTTACATCGGCTGGCCACACCGCAAAGTCATATGATAAGCCACATTGCATTCGAAATGCCTCTACCAAATTCTGAACTGGAAGTCACCATGCGTGGCCACACTCTCCATGAAAAAGGATTGATCAACGGCGAAGAACCTTTATCCTCTCATCCGTTTTAACCTTTGAAGACAAATGTGCCCGTCAATTCCAAAAATGGTTCTCTTGCATGAGCGAGACAATCGTTCTCAGGGCTGCATACCGTCCTTTTTCCTCCGTCGAAAAGTCGCGAATGTAGGGTAGTGATATGAAAAAGCCGGCTCCGCACTCAGCCCGCGCCATCCTCGAAGTGCAGCACTTGCATCCACCCCGAACTAACAACTCAGGAATGAAAGCGCCAGACAAGTGCCGATTATTGTCAAGATTAGGGATGGAGTTTGCATGCAACCAGCCACCCCGGCGCATCGAGTATGGAGACGACTCCCGCACGACAGCGCTCCAAAGCCCAACAAACGTCTCTATCATTTTTTAAAGAGAAAACAACACTCTACTGTACAAAAATAAAAAAAACAGCTCGCTGACTCATTCTCCGCTCACATCACCGGATCACATATCCCATGTGGTTCCCCCAACGCGGAAGGGTCCTATTTGGTCATTCAAAGAATTTTTCTTATGTATAAAAGTTTTCTATGTCCTCAGGAGGAGCACGTAATTGCTTCGTATCTGGGGATGGTGGGGGGGGGGTCGTATTCTCTGCTTGGTTTTCTCTTCCCCATGACAAGAAAAAAAACCCCTGAGGAGCGAACTCACAGTAACACCGAGGATGTAACGCCAGAGGAAACGCAGTAATCAAAGGCCAAATCCTCATGGTGAAATTAGACAACTGACATAGAGACCAAAGATGGTGGCCGCGCCCGCACTGACTGGATCTACGGGAATATGTGTACATTTTGTACCTTAAAAATGCGATGTATCCAGTTTATCTCTAAGGCATCCTATTCACTGTGACACCTTTACTTTTGATTTTTTTTTTTTCTGGACTTGAGATCACCAGCTGCACCGGGACGTCCACTCGCAAGCAGGACCTTTTTCAAATTTCTTTACGGGAGAGGAGCGAGCGCGTGTCCGCTATCGAGACAAGACTGTTCTTCCGACACACCACCATGGAGACTTGGCGATTGTGATCGATGAACTGTGATCCAGCTCCACGTTTGGAGAGAAGACCGACCATAACCCTTTTGCTGCGACTCGGTATGCGCAAAATAGGGCTGTGATCCCTCTGCTTACAATTAGATCTCAAGTCCTAACCCAAAAAAGTACGAAACATTTTGTGAGTACCTTGCTCACAGATCAGTGAACAGTCACTTACAATGGGAAGTTCTTTGTTGATTCAGTGGAACATGCAGGGCTTTAGTGAGTGGAACTGATTCCAAGGACTCGTGAGCTAATTAGGCGTAATATACGTGGAAAACTGGAATATGACCTAATCTACACTTCCCACGGCACCTCAATCCATTGACGCACTGGGTTCGGACTCTTTGAAAATAGATCTAACGTTACTACAGTCAAAGCAGCTCGAAAATCTAAAGCCGACTCGGAATAATCGACTAATAAATATTTCCATTCCATTTAGTCTGCCTCAAGGATTATCACAAATGCGAATTTGAACACACTGGAGTCGATTTTCGATCCGTATCATGGCATCGAAATCTGCGAGCAAATTCCCTGTAGGTCATTTTTTGGGGATTTTCTCAAGAATTTAATGGAACATCGAGTTTACAGCTTGCATAAAAGGCTCGGATAAACCGGTCGATCTTGTTCTGCTCGTAGACGCTTCTGAATCCTTGACAAATCTTTTCAATGATCAGATCCGTTTCGCTATCGATAGAATAATTGGTAATATCAATATCCATCCAGATGCAGTGAGGTTGGTTTCCCTCGACAGGGTATCCTTCTAGTGCCACTCATCTTAGGAAACAATTCCAGACTGGCGCTGATCACCTACTCGGGTCAGACGTTCGTCCACTTCAAATTCAACAATCGTCAGTTCAGCAACAATTCAGCAGTGATTAGCCATCTGAAAACGCTGCGATCCATCAAGGGAACAACTTCCACCGACACCGCACTGAAAGAGACATTCGCTCTGCTCCAGTCTCGAGATACAAACGATGGTGGGTGGTTGGTTAGCTTATGTCAGTAGGTTATAGCTCAATGAGGCCTATTGACTCCTTTACCGTAAAATTTGAAAATTTCAGGATTACGTCAAGGCGTTCCGAAAATGGTAATTGTCCTCACCGATGGTCACTCGGCGAGAAGTCCAAAAGAAATTGCTCAAGCCATGAGAGCGCAAGGTAAAACGATTACGGTACTAAAACGATTACGGTACATCTCTTCTAGGTAACCCAGTATGCTAATGTTCAGGGATAACGATACTAGCAGTCAGCGTCACACCTAGGCCTTATGTCGACGAAGCTGAACTCCTTATGATTACCGGAGATCAAACGAGAGTCTTCACGCCCAGAAATGCTCAGGTAATACTGTTCGCACGATTTCATACCACTGGTGCTCTATTTCGGAACTATTAGAATAATGCTCTCTTTCACCGTGACAAAAAAAAACAGTTTTTATAACAAAGTGAGACGCAACCACAACTGATTGATGATGAGAAGGGTGTTAATGGGAAGCCTCTAATATTCCATAAGTTGCTCTTGAGCTAAGACTACAGCCTTGTTCACCGCGGATGGCTGCACGTTTTTTTTTTTGGGGGAGGGGAGGAGGGCGTATGTTGACGACGCAATCGCCGGCTAGTGGCCAGTCGCGTGCGACGTCGCGCGAGAAAAAGACGATGTTTTTAGGTCGCAGGTAGCGATAACAGACAATGTGTAACCAAGAACAGCCATAAATTTCTACGATGTCGTGGTCCACATAATCCGGTGCCCTAATCGACGAGCTAGTCAGACGAAGCACCCGAAACAGTCGCTCGCGACAGAGCGGCAAATCGCGATTGTCTTGGCCGTCCCCCGTCCCAGAGAGGCATGGATTTCAGCAATTAATGGAGAACGGGTTGGCGCGGCGCCTGAAGAGGGCAGCGAAATTGGTGACGGGCTGACACTGCGACAAACCTAGCCCCCTGACACGCCCTTGTTTTTTTAACAAGGCTGTATATATTAGGTCATCCCATTCAAAAGTGCCGTGACATATAGAGGAATGGCAGAAAAGCAAAGGGATAGGGAAGCGGGCTACTATACCATTTGGAGGCTAGTACCTTTAGCTATGTATCTGTGAAATTTGGCGAACCTACCCACAGAAGAAGTTCTCGAGAAATTGAAAAGAAGCCCGAGTGGTGAAAATCAGCGCCCGATTTTCAAATCAGACGTCATAAGAGGGAAGTGCGCTGCTCAAATTCGACCGGGCTGGACCAGTAGTTTGTGTGTGGTGTGTGTGTGTGTGTGTGTGTGTGTGTGTGTGTGTGTGTGTGTGTGTGTGTGTGTGTGTGTGTGTGTGTGTGTGTGTGTGTGTGTGTGTGTGTGGTGTTCTCGAAATACAAGGTGGAAGTTTGGTTCAGGAGCCCGAAGAAGGAAGAAAGGAAAAAAATTGTTGTCGTGGATGGTCCCATAATGTTCATCCTGCACAAGAAAAAAGGGTGGATGAAGTCAAGCGCTGAATGTCTGATCCCAGAGCCTGGACCTTCGAGCTTCCCCGCGAGTCTGACATCCCAGCTGCAACTGCTGCCCGAGTTATGTCCGATAAACTGAGGATGGTCAAGAGGGTGTGCGCATGGGTACCTAATTTTCTTGTAGAAGCACGAACGCAGTACCGATTCTATGCCTCTAGCAGTAATGTTCTCAGCATGAGATGTCATTCACGACTGTGAAAACGCACCCCGGCCCTAGATGAAATATGGGTGGTCTTGGACCTCGAGCCGAAACTCACAATCGTCAATTTTGTATGAATGCAGATGAGAAGCCGCCCGAGTTCTACCATAGGGTTACGTGGGCGCAAGTGGATGATCATCATAGCGAAGGATTCCTACACTGAGGCTTTTAGGCGGCTCTATACAGAAAATAAAATCGTAGCTGTCGGTGTATATTGCCTGTTCCTCGGCAATCAGATCGACAAATGGATGATACCACACAACTACAAGAAGGCCACCGTTGCTCGTCATAGTGCCAGACCCTGAGTATACCCCCGTCATTATTAGGGCAGTGCTGGGACACAAACAATACTGAGACCTGGGTTCAATCGCCCCATTCGCCCGACAAAGCCGAGCGATTCCAATTGTTCTCGTCAGTCGAGAGTACTCTCCGACGGCAAACGCTACAATGTTTTGTCATTCGCCGAAATTGGCATCAACAGCAATTTACTCGCACTTGTTGAAAAATCGAAGGTACCAGAGGTCCAAAGGCTTTCGGGGCACTGGGAGCGGGTCATTGGTGGCCGAGTAGGATCTACTTAACTGAAATCAGAATATTACAATTTTTTCTATTATCCGTCCTTCGCGTCTCCGTTTGTGTTATTCGAAAAAAAACCGACGGCACTTTTGAATGGGATGACCCAATAGCTTGATTTCTGCGACACCAACCGGCGCAATCATCGTCTCCATTCATCAGTACTCCAAACCTGAACGAACCAGTAGGATTTCCTCGATTGTGGAGCGTCTGGTCAACAGCCGCCCTGGAGTTTGGTTGACGTCACGAGCGGACCGTTCGGCAGCCGGTTTGGTCTAGCGGTCATCACAAAAACCGCATGGCATGTAACTTGATCTTCGATCCGTTGGCAAGCCGCACCCTCGGTATAGGATCTTAATGAAGTTTATAAGGCACAATGGACCGCGCGATCGAAGAGGTTGGCCCTTAGCTGAATGTACAATCCCACTTCAGTGCGAATGAAAGGCACACATCTCGCGTTCTTCTGACAAGAAAAGAATCGTGAGAGAAATTGTGAGAGAATCAACTCCTTACACCACTGTGGTAGACCGATCCTAGCGAAACGGCCCCAAGTTTAGCGGCTACATCGTGAGTAGCAATAGCACTTATTTCGTTGGGCTGTACCCCTCCCAACCCCTCTCCTCGATTAGTTACCGCTTCTCGACCGGTTGCCGATTCTAGCTAGGTAAGTGCTATTCGGAGCATCGGTCAGCTTGCACTATCAACATGGATCAGTTTTCTTTTTTCGCTCCTCTTTTACATAAATAAGCTCAGCTCGGTATTTAAGATTAGAAATTGCTGCAAGTCCCGAATGAGCAAAGGAACGTTTCATATTATGCCAACTTCTCAGTGAGACCTTTCAGCAATAATGGGCAAGCTCATTCAGAGGACACCCTCACTGGAATTCTTCAAGTATAAAGCTCAGCAGTATTGTATTACTCCTGACCCAATCCTCCCATATCAGGACAGTTTTTCACCCACTTTTTTTCTACATGGGCAAACTTGGCTGAAAATTTGTTTCGAGAGGTAGTTTTACCCTACCTCTCGCAAGCAAATTCGAGTCTTGAACACGTACACGAATATCACATTCACACG